AAATCTAAACGAACACACTCTGCACCTTCAGACAGAGAAAGTAAAAAATTGGACGCCTTTGGCAGACGCTTCTATTCCACCGGAGAGTTGGGTGTCAAAACCACTAACTATCTGGCCTGCATGAGCAGGTATCAATATACTCTCTGGGAAAGGTTCTCCGAACTATTGACCCATCTCCCAGAAGACAAGCTTCAGGCAGCCAGAGTCATTCAAAAGAAGGGCATGGTGTTGGCAAAACAACAAATAAACACTTCAAAGCATGCCCTAGATGCATCTTCAAGGACGATGGCCTCTGCTATAGCACTCTGGAGGCATTCCCGGCTCCGCAATACCACTCTCCCTCTGGATACTAGGTCTTATGTTGAAGATCTTCCATTTGACGGCCTTGGCCTCTTCAACACCACTACTGATTCTACACTCCAGGAATTAGACAAGAGCATAAAGGCCTCTCGAGCTCTAGGAGTGTCACCCTCTGCGAGACAACAATACCATCCCCGTACCTGGTCGAGGTCTTGGTAGAGGCGTGCGCCAAGTCGTCAGTCTCCAGACAGACAATGGAGACTGCATACGTCTTTGGGTGGTCAAAAACTTCCATACCAAAAACTGTGGTTTGGATCTGGGCAACAATCTTCCTGTACCAAACAGGTCAAACCCTCCAAGCAGAGTTTTTGACTTCCATGTCACCGAATCAGTTCAAACCCGTCTATCACCCTTCCTTCATACTTGGCGTCACATCACCTCGGATGAATGGGTGCTGTCAATCTTGACCCGAGGCTACTGTATCCAATTCCACCAGAACCCCATTACTCCAGTCGTCGTCTCCACACCCCCTTCCCCACTTCTCCTGGAAGAGGCGTCCGTCCTTCTCCAGAAGGGAGCCATCAAACAGGTACCACCACACCTCCACGGGACGGGATTTTATTCCCGATACTTCACAGTCCCGAAGAGAGATGAAGGCGTTCGACCCATTTTAGATCTAAGGGCACTGAACTGTTTTGTAACCTACCATCACTTCCACATGGTGTCCTTACAGTAGATTATGCCACTCCTGCGGAAACACGTCTGGATGGCCACCCTCGACCTCCAAGACGCGTACTTCCACCTCACCATCCACCCCTCCCACTGCCAATACCTACACTTCGCGATTGGTCAACAGCATTACCAGTATGCAGCCCTGCTATTCGGCCTGTCCAGTGCCCCAAGAGTCTTCACGAAGACTATGATTGTGGTTGCGGCTTTCCTTCATCTCTGGGGTATCTCCATCTACCCCTATATCGACGATTGGCTTTTGGTTGCGCCTTCCCAGAATGCCCTGGTCTTAAACATCACCGAGACACTGGCACTACTAAAGGATCTGGGCCTACAAGTCAATCGAGAAAAGTCTCAATTGAGTCCAGTCCAAAGAATAAAGTACATCGGCGCTATACTAGACTCCATGACATGCATGGCTTACCTGCCTCAAGACAGAGCGGCAGACATCATTTCCTTAGCCACCGTTGTCTGTACCCACCCTTATGTCATTGCCTTCCAAATCCAAAGGCTACTTGGCCTTATGGCTGCAACTACGTCGATTCTCATCTTTGCCAAACTGGAAATGCGTCATTTACAACTGTGGTTCATCCGGAATTACAACCCAGCGAATAACGCTCACACTGTCGTCCTATCCCCCCCTCCCAACATACGAGACTAGTTACTTTAGTGGACTGTCCCTTCCAATATCTTCCAGGGAGCACCCTTCCACCCTCCATCACCCCAAATCACCCTGACCACGGATGCTTCCCTGTCGGGATGGGATGCACACATGATGGGTCTCTGCGTCGGGGACAAATGGGACGCGCAGAAGAGGAAGCGACACATAAACTTCCTAGAACTGCTGGCAATACAACATGCTGTCACCAGCTTCCTACCTTTAATCAAGGGAAAATGTGTCACGGTCCTCACGGACAACACCACGGTGCTCTCTTATGTCAACAACTTGCCATCCAATTATGGAACTTCAACCTTGCCATCCAATTATGTCTCTGCAACCTTGCCATCCAATTATGGAACTTCTGCATTGCCAACAACATTTTCCTTGTAGCCACACACATCACCGGACACATGAACGTGCAGGCAGACCATCTAAGTCGAGCAGGACTCAGCCTTCACAAGTGGGGGATGAACCCAACATACCTCCTCCCACTCTTCCACAGGTGGGGAGCTCCCCAAGTCGATGTCTTTGATACCAACGCCAACGAAAGGTGTCTTCGGTTCTGTAGCCGGGGAGGCAGGGATCCACAATCTCTGGGAGACGGTCTCCTTTACCCTTGGTCCACGGGACTTCTGTACCTCTTTCCTCCCTTACCTCTGCTTCTGAGAGTGGTCCGCAAAATACTCAGAGACAGGGCGGCGCGGACTACGTCACTGGTTTCTCCACCCGCGTAGCAAACGTTCTGTTGAATTCCAGGAAACCTACTACGCGGAGGTCCTACAATTATAAATGGCAAAGGTTCTGTTCTTCCTTAGATGATGACGCCCCTTGAGCCACCTCAGTGGGTCTCGAAAGAGTTTTCCAATTCCTCCTCTCCCTAGCTGACTCGGGACTTTCCCATTCATCGTTACGAGTTTATTTGGCCGCCCTTTTGGCCTACCATGTTCTACTTGATGGATGCACACTGTTTTCCCATCCGCTTTCAAAACGTTTTTTAAAAGGTTTATTGCATCTCTACACTCCTGTCAAAACTCCAGTCGTTCCCTGGGACCTTCCTCTAGTTCTCCGCCAGCTCACGAGGAAGCCCTTTGAGCCGCTTGCAACATGCAACCTCAAACTTCTAGCATGGAAAATGGCCTTTTAAATTGCTGTCACCTCGGCTAGGCGAGTGGGAGAAATATTGGCTTTCCGGCACGATACGCCTTACCTGTCGTTTTTGCCAGACGAAGTCCGCCTCGTACCGGACATTTCCTTCTCGCCGAAGGTGGTTTCAGAGTTCCACCTGCAGGCGGAGGTCTTCCTCCCGGATTTCTTCCCAACTCCAACATCCATGGAGGACAGACTCTTTCACACTTTGGATGTGAAGTGGGCTCTCCTGTTCTACCTCAATAGAACACGCCTAATGAGACAAGACTCCCAATTGTTCGTCTCTTATGCACCAGCAAGGCTGGGGACTCGCATCACGGCTCAGTGCCTATCAAAGTGGATTGTGGGGCTCATCCATCTCTGCTACCTAATCGCCAAACAGCCATTGCCTGGCCCTATCAGGGCTCATTCTACCAGAGCTGTTGCGACTTCCACTGCCTTCCTCCAGGGAATTCCCCTGACGGACATTTGCAAAGCCGCTACATGGGCCACGCCTAACACCTTCATCACGCACTACGCCCTAGACATCCATAAGAACTCTAATACCAACATGGGATGTCACATTCTGTCTTCGGCTACGCACTAAGGACCTGCCAGCACCCTCCTCCAGGTAGGCCACTGCTCGCTAATCTTCCATGGGTGTGAAGCACAGAGACCACATTGAAGATAAACAGGTTGCTTACCTGTAACTGGTGATCTTCGAGTGGTCATCTGTGCATTCACACCACCCGCCCTCCTTCCCCGCTGCTGTCAGCGTCTACGTTTTCAATAGGGGTTGATTTGCGGCGGTTTGAAGGAACTGGCGGGATGTCTGCGGCCACCCCTCTGGGCATGCGCGGTGGGGTTCCTGCGCATGCCCGAGGTCTGGGC